TTGTCATGGTCAGATCACTCCCTCCTTCGCTTTGACCTTCGAACCGCCACACCCCGCCGCAGGGAGGCGGAACCGATGAGGTGATTCCGCCTCAGGCGCCTGATGGACCCGGAGAGGTTCCAGATGGAGCTTGGGCCATTTCCTGAGGCTCTGGCACACGGCTCGACTGAAGACCTAGTGGCTGCCTGGGATAGGGCGGCCGCTGGAGCTTTGGACCGGGTCATGCCTTTGCGGCCTCTAACCCGGCGTCGATCTCACCTGGCTCCCTGGTTCACCGAGGAGCTGAGGGAGATGAAATGCCGGAAAAGACGCCTGGAGAGCAGTTGGAGGGCCAGCCGTTCTGAATCTGACCGAACACTGGTAAGGTCTCATATTAAGACCTACCTGGTGGCAATAAAAGTGGCAAAGTGTAACTATTTTTCTGCTCTTATTGCGTCATCAGATAATCGCCCGGCCGCCCTGTTTAGGGTGACCCGCTCCCTGCTCCACCAGGAAGCGCGGGAGGACCCCTTGGAGGGTAGAGCCGAGGACTTTGTACAATATTTGTATGACAAAATCGCTCAGATTCGGGAAAATTTGGACTCTGACTGGGTAGATTCGGGAGGGAGGATGGAGGCAAGTCTTGAGAATATTACCTGGGAAGAGTTTGATTCTGTGACTCCGGAAAACGTGGACAAGATACTGGGCAGACTGAGCGCGGCCACATGTTTATTGGACCCGTGTCCCTCCTGGCTGGTGCTGGCCTCTCGGGAGGTTACACGAGGCTGGCTCCAGGGGATTATAAATGCTTCCTTGAGAGAGGGTGCCTTCCCCGCCGCCTTGAAAGAGGCGGTGGTGAAGCCTCTCCTCAAGAAGCCTTCCCTGGACCCAGCACTGTTGGCTAATTACCGTCCAGTCTCCAACCTTCGCTTCATTGTGAAGGTTGTTGAGAGTGTGGAAGCGCGACAGCTTCCTCAGTACTTGAATGAATCGGCTTATCTAGATCCGTTCCAGTTGGGCTTCAGGCCTGGATACAGCACGGAAACGGCATTGGTCGCATTGGTAGATGATCTCTGGAGGGCCCGGGACAGGGGTTGCTCCTCTGTCCTGGTCCTATTAGACCTCTCAGCAGCTTTTGATACCATCGACCATGGTATCATGCTGCACCGGTTGGAAGAGTTGGGGGGGGGCACTGTGTTGCGGTGGTTCTCCTCCTTTCTCTCTGATCGGTTGCAGTCTGTGTTGACGGGGGCAAAGGTCGACCCCAAGGCCCCTTGTATGTGGGTTGCCACAGGGGTCGGTTCTCTCACCCCTTCTGTTCAACATTTATGTGAAGCCGCTGGGTGAGATCATCCGTGGTTTTGGGGTGAAGTATCATCAGTATGCTGATGATACTCAGCTATACATCTCCACCCCGGACCACCCCAATGATGCCCTTAAAGTGATGTCCCGGTGCCTGGAGGCTGTACGGCTCTGGATGGGGAGGAACAGACTCAGGCTCAACCCATCCAAGACTGAGTGGCTGTGGTTTCCGACGTCCCAATATAGTCAGTTGGTGCCATCACTGACTATTGGGGATGAGTCATTGCCCCCCACGGAGAGGGTTCGCAACTTAGGCATCCTCTTGGACTCACGGCTGTCTTTAGAAGAACATTTGACGGCTGTGGCCGGGAGGTCTTTTTATCAGATTCGCCTGATTCGCCAGTTGCATCCCTTTCTGGATCGGGACTCGTTAAATACGGTCACTCATGCCCTCGTCACTTCACGCCTGGACTACTGTAATGCTCTCTACATGGGGCTCCCCTTGAGGAGCACCCGGAGGCTCCAGCTGGTCCAGAATGCGGCCGCGCGGGTAGTTATGGGAGCAGCATGGCGCTCCCATGTGGCTCCCCTCCTGCACGAGCTGCACTGGCTCCCTGTGGTCTTCCAGGTGCGCTTCAAGGTCTTAGTTACCACCTTTAGAGCGCTCCATGGCTTAGGACCGGGGTACTTACGAGACCGCCTTCTGCCACCAATAGCCTCTCACCGCCCAGTACGCTCCCATAGAGAGGGGCTTCTCAGGGTGCCGTCAGCCAAACAGTGTCGACTGGCGGCCCCCAGGGGGAGAGCCTTTTCTGTGAGGGCACCCACCATCTGGAACGAGCTCCCCCCAGAGATACAGAAGATTCCGGATCTGCGCACTTTCCGCCGTGCCCTCAAAACATTCCTGTTTCAGCAGGCCGGCCTGGCCTAACTTTCCCTTTATATTGCTTTTGATTTTATTTTAAACTGGGATGTCTTGAATTATCTAGGACCAGAGTGTTTAGTATATTTTAATTGGTTTTTTTTTTTTTTAACGTTTGTATTACATGTATTTTTATCGTTCGCTGTTCACCGCCCTGAGTCCCTCAGGAATAGGGCGGTATATAAATTTAATTAATTAATAAATAAATAAATAAATAAATAAATAAATAAATAAATAAATAAAATAAATAAAAGGATATTGTAAAATATATATTAGAAATTTATATGTGTCTTAAAACTATTTGATCTTGAACTATAATTCCACAATTGTTTTTTTATATACACTGATGACCAAGTAGGTATCTTCTGTTCCCTATATTAAATTTCCTTTTATTATTTTCTAGTTCTTTATATCCCAGAATATAAATAAAGTTTTATTAAACATTTCCTTCACCTCCTTGTCCAAATAATTTATAAAAATATTGAATGGTGCTAAGTTCCAGACTGAACATTGCAGCATCCCATTCAGTGTCTCCTTCCAATTTAATAAGCAATTGTTGATGAGCACTCTTGGATTATGTTACAGCCAAATGTGGATCCACCTAATAAATGTGTCTATATTTAATTAGCTTTAAAACTGTTAGGCTGCTGTGCGAAGTCATTCTGTGACTTAGAGAAGCAGCTACTTCAATGTCCTTCACAGTCTTCAAAATGGATAGCTACATTGAACCAGTTAAGACTGACATGCTTTTTTTCTATGTCAACATGCTACCTTGAAGCAAATTGTTCTAGGAATTTATGAGGCTTCTGCAAAAAAAAAGTGCTATTTCTTATAGGTGTATTAATTTACTAAATTCATGTGATCAACACATAATACAAGTTGTAATTCTGCCCCAGATGGAAATGTTTCCCATTATTCTGCTTCTTTCTCTTCCTCTCAGTTTCATCATGATGGTATCTTGGCTCAATCTGTCTTCCATTTTTCTGTAGTGAGGGTTGTTTTCAAAATAGCCTTTAATGTTGGAGGTGCATAACTTTCTTCCCTCCTCTCACTTGTTCCTTTCTCTATCTGATGTGTGATTTTCATTTATGGCGGATGAAAGAAAATGCCTCCAAAACTTTGAATATTTAACGTGGGGAGAGGGAGTGAAGAGAACTGTTAACCATTGGGGAACACTTTTATCTCTCACCTGATTTATGTTTGCAAAAAAAAGCCAAGAAAACCCACAGCACTTCTTCAAAATCTCCTAAATTGATAGTTTACAGATTATTTCTTTCTTTACCTCTAAATTGCACTCTGGAATGTTTTGTTCAGAAGACTGCTGTGTGCATAATATTCTTTGATTAATGCCAGGAGACACCCCTGGCTGTTTTCATCCACCTAAATTATGACTAGGAGGATAAGTGAGCCAGCAACCTTCTGCAAATGGGATCCGAGATGGTTGACTGGAGAAGGAGACAAAATTGTATCCAAAGAATGATGAGATGCTAATTTAGGAGATGAAATGAAACAGCTCTCTGTGGGGCCAGGCCACCAAACAAAATGTCCAAGAACAGGAATCCTGAGGGAGAAATGTTAGAATTTATTCCAAATGAGCATGCTTCTTTAAACAGTGTATATTATTTCAGTTGATTGGGGTTATTGTGAATGGATTTGAATTACTAAATCTTGGCTTAAACAATGCTTTGAGTATTCAGTTGTCAGTGAGGTATCAGAATAAAATGAGCTTTTTTGGCACACGGTTTACTCTGCCTGCAGAGGGAAACCATTCAAAGTACCAAACCCTAAGAACCACTGCATGCAAACACTCATATCACATCACCATAAATCCCTGTGCTAGTCCTGAGCAATGGACTGCAGTCAATTTACTTCAGCCTCCTGGCCCTTTGTGAAAAGGTTAATGTAAAACCTGTAGAACAGCTTCTTTCCCCGGGCGCTGCTGGAGTCCATGAGATTAGACACAGTTGGAATTCTTGTGGCTCCAGAAGGATGGGTGTTACAAAAGGAGGGGGAGGGGGAACTATATGTTTCAGTGCTGATGGAATCACCCTTGATCCGTCTGTCTGGGATATAATCCTCGCTTCAGTAATTAAAATAATAATAATAATCAGTATTACAAGGAAAATGGTGTACAGTAAAATGTAATCAATTCTGTAGAAGCTTAACCATCTGTTAAAGGTTAAATCTGTGAAGAGTATAATGTCAGGGTATGGCGCATTTGTCCTTTGATGCATTGGGCTCTCTAATCTAGCCTAATGTTGAGACAGAAGCAAACGTAAAAAGGGAGGAATTCCCACAATCCCCAAGCAAAATTAATGTTGTCTTCAGTCTGGGTAAAAGTTATATCCTTAGGGGTTCTCATAGATCCTTATGATGTTTGAATTCCCCTGAAACCATCACCAAGCCACAATTTTTATCTACTTGCAAAGAATAAACCATTGCAATTGAATGATTATTGCTGCTACCATGGTTTATAAGCATGGCCTTGAGGCATAAATCCTCATGGATCTTTTAGTTTTTAAATGAGACCTCCTTGAAACCAACTTCAAATCACAAATTGCATTTCTCTGCACGGAATGTGACATGACTATTATGCATCTGATAATTGGTAGTGCTGCTATAGTTCCAAAACCTGACTCTTGAGTGTTCAAGATTTTTCTTAATATCTACTTGAGGCCATCATTAAAACATCTACACAAATGAACCATTACAGTAATGCAGCTTGTTATTTCTGACTACTATCATAGTGCAAAAGTTCCAAAGCATGAGAAAGAGATGCTGAGTTTTGTGTGTTCATGCATGGCTGACTTTTCAAACAAAAGATCCACAAGATTTTTGTGCAGCATAGATACTAAAACCAGAGGAAACAAAATGAAATCCTCAAGGGACCAATTCCAATGATAATGTTTTGTGAATTAAAACAACATCCCTCAGCAAAGGTCTGAAATGTATCCTTCAAATAGGTCTGGAGCCATTCCATTACAGAACTCACATCCTAATACAGAGAAATGGTTTGCAAGGATATGATGTTGGAAGATAGACATTGGGAGATTAAGAGAAATCATGGCTGAATCACGGAAACAGGTTCCAACTATGATTTGATTGTACTTTCAACTGGAAACTAATGAAGATCTATTGTTTGAATCCTTATAGTCATTTGTGTGCTATAGTACCAAAAATCATTATATCTATAATTAGTATATTTTTCAGATGGGCCCCAGTAAAATCATGAGAATCCATGAGCATACAGCAGGCTCCAGGCCTTTCTATTTATTTAATTTGTTTGTTGTCTGCCTTCCAAAGATTCTAGGCAACTTGCAAGTAAAAATACTGAGGGAAAAAAGCCTACACAATTGTAGGAGGGGATCACTAATCCTTACCAAAGTCCTGGAAGAAGAGTCAGTTCTTCAAGCTCCTTCAAAACATCAGTAGAGTGGGCATCTGGCTCTTCAGGGAATCTCATTCCAGAAGATAGGTGCTGCTATAGAAAAGACTTCCAAGTTCCCAACAGATGTCATTGTTTAAACAAAGGAACCTAGAGTATACCGTGTACCAGTCCTCCTAGATTGAATCAGTTATGCAGATGAGAGAGGTTAATGTTTTATGGTATGAATAGTGCCATAAATACTTGGATATATAATTATTGTGATTCAATCTGTGCATATCTATTCTTTGTCAGTAATTTCAGCAAGATCAGAGATAAAAACTGCGAGGATTTTTGGTAATCCATATTTAAATCCTTATTTTTCCTTCACTATGGTTCCAGTGAATATAATAGTAGTATTCTGCATGAAAGATTTGCCATTTTCAGGTGGACCCCGTGTAAGAATCATGAGAGGATCCAAGCTGTTTCTCCTTGTCAGCATCAAGAGATACATTCATTGCCTATCTATTTTTTCTACTGGAAAGTTGAGTCTTTGTGGTATAAGAATAAAAACAGTCTCCATATGACTGTATTCACAGGACATGCTTAATCAGATCAGGTAAAGATTAAGCAGATGCATTCACACATTACTTTGATCTTTGGATCTTACTGTCTTGCATGAACACAGCTTGTGAATCCAACAGGCTTAATCCGGTTCCTGAATGTGTACAACACAATCTCTCCACACCTCTATCCTCACTCTACTTACAAAACTGGGTTAAGCCTGTTGCATGACATCTCTCTCTCTCTCTCTCTCTCCCCTCTGCCCCCAGTCTTGCTCTCCTTACTTCTTCACCACATCTTCCTCTGCCCACCGAGGGGTTAATCGTTCTGCCACTCGTCGTCTCAGCAGTTGGGGCTCTGGCTCGTGGGCGCTGTCCACCAATACGGTGCTGAAATGGCAAGCGGGTCCTCCTTTGCTGGCTCGCTCTGCCAACCGAAAGTAGTTGGAAGTCTAAGTCAATCGATGATGAAGACGCGCAAGGGAAGGAGCGGAGGCTGCAGCTGAGGCGGAGCCAGAGCCAGTGCTCTGTCGCGTCCCTTCTGAGCCCGCCGATGTCTCTTCTCGATCGAGGCAGCGGGACTTCCCGCTGGGACTGGGAATATTGTACGGGGAAACTAAGGCTCTCCCAGAGCTTGTCGAGCTGCGCTCCGAGTTGGGGAAGACTCGAGGTGTTGCTCCTGCTAAGTTCCTGCTTGGCTTTGGCTCCGGCTCCGGCTCCGGCTCCGGCTCCGGCTCCAGCAGCTGGCCAGCTACGCTACTCGGTACCCGAAGAACTGGACCACGGAGCCTTTGTGGCCAACATCGCGGAAGACTTAGGTCTGGATGTATCCGAATTATCAGCCAGGCGGTTTCGTATTGTGTCCCGGGCGGGGAGTAAGCAATACCTGGAGGTGAATCTGGAAAATGGGATCCTCTTTGTTAACGAGAAAATAGATCGGGAAGAGGTGTGCGAGGGCAGCAAGGCCTGCCTCCTGCACCTGCAGCTGGTCATCGAGAGTCCCCTTGAGCTTTATCGCATCGAAGTGGAGGTGCTAGACATCAACGACAATGCACCCCGCTTCCCTTGGCAAGAATGTGTGCTGGAAGTGACAGAATCAGCACTACCTGGGGCTCGCTTTCCCCTGGAGAGTGCACAGGATCCAGACGTGGGCACAAACTCCCTGCGTACTTACAGACTCAGCCCTAATGGTTATTTCTCGCTGGAGGTGCAGACTCGCAGTGACGGCAGCAAGTTTGCAGAGCTGGTGCTGGAGAGGAGTCTGGACCGAGAGCAACAGCGTAGCCACCGGGTCCTGCTCACGGCTTTGGATGGTGGTATCCCCGAGCGCTCGGGCACAGCTAGAGTTGTGATCATGGTGTTGGATGCCAACGACAATGTGCCAATCTTTGATCAGTCTACTTACAGTGTAAGCCTGCCGGAGAATGCTCCTAAAGGGACTCTGGCTATCAAGCTTAATGCTACTGATTTGGATGAGGGAACCAATGGCGAAATTGAGTATTCATTCAGCGGGCACGCTCCACTAGGTGTGCGGGAGCTTTTCAGTGTGGAGCCCCACACTGGGCAGGTGCGCCTAAAAGGCCAATTGGACTACGAGCGAGCTGATCTTCATGAGCTATATGTGCAGGCCAAGGACCGGGGCCCCTCTGCAGTTGCCATTCACTGTCGGATATTGGTGCACCTCCTGGACGTCAATGATAACGCACCGGAGGTGACCCTCACTTCGGTCTCCACACCAGTTTTGGAGGACGCACCTCCCGGTACTGTCATAGCTGTAATCAGCGTGCTGGATAGAGATTCCGGAGATAACGGCAAGGTGAGCTGCGAAATCCCGACTGATATACCCTTTCAGCTTCAGTCGTCTTTTCACAACTATTATGCACTAGTAACTACTGCACCACTCGACCGTGAGACTGTGGCCGAATATAATGTCAGTATCACTGCCCAAGATCTGGGGTCTCCAGCGCTGGCTACCAAGAAGACCCTGACAGTCCAGGTGTCTGATATCAACGACAACGCGCCCCGCTTCCTGCAACCCTCTTACAGCGTCTACGTGACTGAGAACAACGCTCCTGGGGCGTCGATCTGCTCCGTCAGTGCGCTGGACCCAGATTGCCAACAGAACGCTTACTTGTCCTACTCCATCGCAGACGGCCAGATCCAGGGCATGCCAGTGGCCACCTACGTCTCCATCAACTCGGACAGCGGGCACATGTATGCTCTGCGCTCCCTGGACTACGAGCAGATTCGCAACTTCCAGATCCAAGTCGTGGCTCAGGACGCCGGGTTCCCTCCTCTTAGCGGGAACGCCACGGTCCACGTCTTCGTGCTGGACCAAAACGACAACGCGCCCTTGGTCGTGGCTCCCATGCCCCGCAATGGTTCCGTGGCTGTGGAGGTGGTGCCTCGCTCAGCAGAGCCCGGCTACTTGGTGGGTAAAGTCTCCGCAGTGGACGCCGATGCGGGACAGAACTCGCGGCTTTCCTACCGGATAGTCCAGGCTACCGATGCCAGCCTCTTCAGCGTGGCCCTCTACACGGGTGAAATACGCACCGTCCGCGCCTTCCTGGCCAAAGACGCCCCGAAGCACCGTCTTCTCGTCCAGGTGCGGGACAACGGACAGCCCCCGCTCTCGGCCTCCGTGGCCCTGTTGCTCTCGGTGGTGGACAGCATCCCAGAGGTGCTCTCGGACTTCCGCGAGCTTCCTCCGGGAGGCGAGACCGCTTCTTCCAGGCTTACCCTCTATCTGATCGCCTCTCTGGGCTCCGTCTCCTTCACTTTCCTGGTGGCCATCGTTATCCTCACGCTGGTCAAGTGCCCCAAGGAGCGGCTGACCTTCCCCGACTATGCCTGCTCGCAATTGTCTTGTGGCGGGGAGGGCTGCGGCTCCTCTGCCTTCTGCTGCTGCGGCGGCGGTTGCGGCTTGTGTGAGCGCTCGGCCCCAGCCTCAGACCGCTTCAAGAACTCCGGCAGCGTCAACGCCCCGGTCTCTTCGGGTGACTGCGGGGACGTCGGAGCCAGCGCAGGCCCTCCTGCCTATTGCTATAAAGTCTGCCTGAGCCCTGGATCGGCCAAGAGCGACTTCATGTTCCTGAAGGCTTGCAGTCCCGCCCCTCCGAGGAACAACGAAGCGGGCCCTCAGAACTTGCCGCCCGGTCCCGGCCCGAAAACCCGAGGGGCCAATAACTCTCGGCAGCTCGCCGACCAGGTAGCTTCTTGGGCGCCCCGATGGGTGGGGGAGCCCTCTCCGGGAGGTAGCCTGCTAGAAAGTCAAACAGTGCCCGGAACCTGGGATACAGTAAAGCAACTTTCGAGAGGGGGAGATGTTTTTAGTCTCGCCCAACTTTTTGAAAGATTGTAGCCCGGCCTTTTCCCCGAAAGAGACATCGAGCTCAGCCAAAACTTTGGCTAATTACATAATTGTTTGCCCAAACTTGGGTTCCTTTTAGATAGATGAGATGTGGGAGAGGAGTTGGGAAAGGTCCCAGGAGGTCGATCTCAGGAGGCCCCAGAGTTAGGCAATCTCGCTCCGAAACTGGGATGTTTCCCTTCCCAGGCCACCGCTCGTTGGCTCGCTTTCACTCGGGCGCGATAGGATTCGGTGGTTTCTAAGATCGATACCTGGGTGTCTGTGGGAGTGGGCAGTAGTGGGGCACTTCGTTCCCTTCGACTGGGTAGGAGAAGGAAGCCGAGTGGAGTCGGTTGAGATAAAGCCTCAGGCTCCACCACTTTTTCTGAGAGTCAATTGCCCGGCTTGCATTTGCAGTGGGATCTTGCATGTCAATCGCAGAATTGAGAAGGACCGGGCAGAGCCTTTCCTTCGCTGCTAACTGAAGGATCTGGTCGGAACCCAGTCCCCTCAGCAAGGCTCTCTGGACAAGCCAAGGACCATTGCGGAGAGAAGAGTCCTGTTGAGCTCAGGAGACTTTCCCAGACCCTGGAATCCTTCCATGTGCCCCTCCTCATTTCCAGGGGATGGGCTTCTGCTCTTTCCCCTTAGGTAGCCCAGCCTTGCCTGATGCTTTCTCTGTATATGCCAACCATTGTTGGGTTCCCATTTCTATCCTGTTTCTGGCCTCATGTGAGATTAATGCCACACTGCTTTGGGCCAAAAAAAAGAGAGGATGCTTTGTGAGAGCAACCAACTCCTGCCCAGGCCAAAGCCGAATAAGATGAAAAAGGGTTGCTGGGGTTGAGGAGGAAAAATCATCACCATTTGCTAAGTCTATTTTTCAATGAAGCATTTCCTTTGATAATAAAGCAGGATGGCTGAAGGTGCAAAGCAGCACATGTATAAAACACATGCGGTTTCACAGCTCTTTGAAAAATGCCCTCACCTTTCTCTAGACAGGGTTTCTTTGTCCATTTTCATTTTCCTTGTTGGATATCCTTGTCTAATATGGTAATGTTCTTGTCAGCTCAAAAACTCCCCCTAGTGACTTGATGTCTTGAGCTGATTTCCACTCCTCTTGTCTCAGGCTGATAGAGGAAACAAGCAGCAAGGCCACACAAGCTCCCCTAGCCAGTGAAAGAAAGGGGGGGGCTGGCATTCCTGAGGGTGGGGGAGAGCGAGAGAGAGAGAGACAGACAGACAGACAGACAGACAGAAAGAAAAAGAAGAAATGAAACCGCTGAAGTTGTACATAGGGCATTGAGGCTCGGAGGCATTTATTCCTCTTGAGTTTAAGGCTAACTTCTTAGGAAGGAAGGTGAATCTTTGCACACAATGAAATTTTGAATGAAAACAACCTCCAGCTTCTTTCTCATGTTTTCCTCTGTTCTTGTCTCTTTGGAAGAATGGTACACTTCCTTGTTAGCTCTTAGAAATCCTCAGAGTATAAACCACCTTGAAATGACTGAAGTGGGCTCCCCTTTACCCTTTTATTTATACAGGAAGAATTTGATAGCCTTAAATTGCCCTTTGCTTTACTGCTGGGATCTTCTGGGCCACAGGGAATAAGGGAGCTCTCTGAAAGTCCACCGGGGTGGGGAATGAAATGAAAATCAGTGCAGGCTGAACCTGAACAAGAGCTGCAAAATAAAATATGGAAAACATTTGGAATGGAAATAGAATAGAAGATGAATTATGTATGTCTGCTATATTTTGTAAAAGGTTAATTGGTGGATCTTGTGATAGAAAGGCAGAAGTGACAGTGTTCTCACAGATCCTTCCCCAGTAGAAGGACGGGCTTTGGAAAAGAATGGAATAACACCCTCCACCACCCCCCCACTCGCCTGATCCAGAAATGGTCTAGATTAGAATACTGTAAAGGTTTTTTGGAATAAGACAGGTATAGGACTGGAATAAGAGTTTCAGGCAGTTGAAGGACTAGTAAAGAATTATAAAGCCATCTCTGAAACTACAGTACAAGGACAGGCATTATGGGTTGAGGGGAGAATGAATGAGCTGAGCTGGCATGACCAAGTCAGAAAATTATTGATGTTATCTACCCATGCTGATTCTTCAGACACTCTAATAAGGTTCTTAGATTATTATTATTATTTTTTGTTGCACAATAAATGTGATTGGATAGTGGAGTAAACATTACCCATTATCTCTGCAGAGAAAAGTAAGCAAACATTCAAAATCCAATTCCTTCAGTGGAATTCCTTCAGTATTCTTTGTAGTATAGTATAGTTTATTGAATAGCCCGAAGGCCTTTTCAAACAAAACAGAAAAGAAAAAGGGAAAAAGATAAAACAGTTACAAAAATAGCAATCTAAAAATATATGATAGATGACATTAAAATTTTACAATATCAAATTTCAATAGCTAAGTTGCCAAGACTAGATAACCCAAATAGGATAGCTCCTCTCTAACTGAGCTCATCTTCCTTACAATCGATAAAAATTTTTTTGATATAACTGGCTCGTATTGCCGTCATTCTTTTAAGGTATTGAGTGATCGCTCTTACCAGAGGAGGAGAGTCAGCCCTCAACAGAAATGCTAATTTTTGGCTTATATTCCAGTGGGGAAATTTATTTATAATTGGGGACAGATATTGTTTTCTTACTTCTTGATAGAGACTACATTCGAATATTATATGCGCCGTGTCCTCCACGACGTTTACCCCACATATGCATATTCTTTTTTTTTTTTTATTTGATTTATATGCCGCCCTTCTCCGAAGACTCAGGGCGGTTTACAATGTGCTCAGCAATAGTCTTCATCCTTTTGTATATTTATACAAAGTCAGCTTATTGCCCCCACAAACTGGGTCCTCATTTCACCTGCCTTAGAAAGGATGGAAGGCTGAGTCAACCTTGAGCCTTGGCGAGATTCGAACCCTGCAGTAATTGCAGGCAGCTGGTCTTAATAACCAGCTTCATAACAGGGTGCCTTAAACCCCTGTACTACCAAGGCTCTGTTTTGTCATACGGGATTTTCCGATAATGGCCAAATCTAACATTGGTATCTAGAAGTTCGAATCTAAACTTAACAAATAACTGTCTCTCCACTGATGGCATTTCTAAATGTAAATACTTTTCCAGAGTGAAAGTTGTTTTAACTGCTGTCAGCAGTTTAAGGGAATGATTAGTTGAAAGGGTTGCCATGTCCATTTGCCCATGTATATCTTTAATCCGTTGTTTAACTTGGTTCAGTGTGTCACACAACGGGAACCCTATGCCATATCGGTTCAATATTTCTGACAGCCGGGTTAGCCAGGAATACCTTTGAGGATTTGAAATCTGCTGTTCCTCTAGACATATTTTAGGGAGTCTGCTGGCATCCATCTGGGTCATTTTTAGCCAGTAGGCTACCGCCCTAGTGATTGTATAGGTGTACAGTGAGAAATGTCCCAATTCAGCTCTGACGGCTGCAGCTGAAGTGGAATTGTTTACCCCAAGCATCCTCCTTAACAAATTATTTTGAGTTCTCTCTAATATGGGGGCCTCTGTAAGACCCCAAATTTCAGCACCATAGAGCATGATCGGAACAAGTTTAGCCTGAAAGACTTTACGAAGAGGTAAAATGGAGGTTGGTTGGATTCGTTTACTTAATTTGGATACAAGGCTTGCTCCTGCTCTGACCTTTTGAGAAAGGTATTGATGGTGCGGAGTCCAACCTCCTGCACTGGAAAAAACAATTCCAAGATAAGTATATTGGGTAACTTGCTCAATTTTTGTGTCATTAATCTGCCAGTTGTGCTTTTTATTCTTATTGCCAAAGACTAAAACTTTTGATTTAGCTACATTTATAGTCAAGTGGTTTGCAGTACAGTAACGTGTGAGCTTGTCAAGAAGTCTCCTCATTCCTATTTGGGTTCTAGAAAACAACACTAAGTCATCGGCATACATTAATACGTTAATAAATCTAGAGCCTATTTGGGGGCTGTGCGTCAGAAGATCATCCAGCTGCGCTGGGATATCATTTATATAAAGGTTAAAAAGAGTAGGGCCCAGCAGGCAGCCCTGCCTCACTCCTCTAGTTGTCGGTATGCTGTTTGTTGAGGCCCCATTTGCTGCATATCTGACTCTAATTGCCGTATTAGTATAGAGAATCCTGATCAACAAAATAAGTCTGGGGTCCATCCCCATAACTTGTAGTTTCCTCCACAAGTGGTTCCTATCTATAGAATCAAAAGCAGCAGTAAGGTCAATAAAGGCGGTATACAGCTTTTTCCCCTGGGTCTTGTATTTATTAATTAAGTGGGAAAGGACAAAACAATTGTCTATGGTAGACCTACCTGATCTAAAACCTGCCTGCTCATTTGCCAGAATTTCCTTATCCAAGCACCAGTCCTCTATTTTATTTAGGAGATGTTTCGTATACATTTTTGAAATTATATTAAGAAGTCTGATGGGTCGGTAGTTGGATGGGGCAGCTCTGTCACCTTTCTTAAAAATTGGAAAAACTATAGCTAACCTCCACCCTTCAGGGATTATCCCTACTTTATCGATATAAGTAAACAGTGCTACCAGCACCGGTACCCAAAAGTCAATGTTGGACCTAAAGAGTTCAGGAGGCAACAAGTCCTCTCCAGTGGCCTTCCCGGCCTTTAAGGATTGAATTATATGCTTAACTTTGGTAGGGGTAACTGGTGTCCATTCTGGACATTTCCTTAATTCTTGCTGGAGGATATCCAATTGCAAGACATTTGTTGTATTGTTACCATCAAATAAAGCAAGATAGTGCTTCTCCCATTTTACTGCTGATATATCAGTGTTCATAAATGGGGAACGTTGTTTTAATATACTGGCTATCTT